TATAAACTAATTTGATTTCTGTATGCTCAAGACATGAATGCAAGACGCACACTTTTTCAAAACCTTTAATAAAGTGAGGGGATTATAATGACTTAATCCCACTTTAAAGGGGCTTCAATGCTTTATCTACGAAAATAAATGTAGCTGCTCAACATTAAAAAAATCTCCTCTGTGACTGTCATTCACCCTTTTCTGAGACCTCCCACTACATCCATGACCTCCAGCATGAGGTCACAGGAGGCTGCAGACAGGAGGCCTCTTTTTGTAAATAAATGCGACTGGTGGTGGCGCTGAGACAACCTGTTGTCAAGGTGTTTGTGTACGACTATTGACAACAAATCAGTGCATGAGAGGTCCTTCTCCCTATAGCTTATACTTTACTTTAAAGTCAACCGATAAATCATTACATCAGTGTCTAATTAACATTCAAATGTAGGAGTGTTGATATATACCGTTTGTCTTCACACCTTGTCTACAGATTTCTGCAAGACTCCCACAATCCTTTTCACATGACTAGAGAAAGGTAAAGATTGAGTAACAGTTGGCTGAAGTTGTCTTTGTTCACATTTAACAACCAGATCTATTCATGTCTGTCCCTCACGTTAAAACTCAACTTTTGATTATTTTTTTAACAATCAAAAGAACTTTTTTTAAAACCATTCTCTTCTACCTGAAACTGCTGAATATGATTTCAGAGAAAAATGTTGTCTTGCTATTATGTTTGATTGCGCAATCTAACCAGGCTAGTGATTCATCTGTGATCCATTTACTCGTCTCGAAACACCGTGAATACACTGCTGATGAATCACAAATGGCAGGGAAGGCTTGAATGCGTGCGAGGATATTTATGTGTGAGGGCTTTGAAACGGCCTGAATCAGGAGTTTTTTTAGCTGAAGATCGTCCTCAGACCTTTGCGGGAGGAGGTGGGAGACATGACGGGAACATTTGATTCAATGCGGCAAATTCTGCTGCAGCTTTGTCAAAACTTATTATGTTCAGCTTGCTTATACTGGTGCCTTATATCCACACGCTACTTCATTTATACAAAAGTAAAGTTATAGCACAACACTAAGACTTATCAATGTTGTTCATCCGAGTTGCTCAAAACCAAAACATGCAACTTTTTCAAAAGCTGGGTGGTCCTTAAGAGTGGACCTTAAGAATGTGGAAAAAAATAACCAAAATCCTGATAATACGTCTGTTTTCTGTGAAATAACTTCCTGTATTGTTTTTATATTTGCTATGATACTTTTGCAAAGGATCTTACAGATTTATAACTGCAACACAATACGTCTTTATACTATATTGTGTAGGCATAACTAATTTTTTCACACAATTCTCAACAGTTTCTACGAGCATCCCCCTCCTCAGTTTTTGGCTCAGAGCCCATGCAATGCTTGGTCCTGGTGGCACAGTGGGTGGTTGGTGTAGAAATATCTCTCTGATCCTGACTGACAGACAGCTGCAGCCTCGGCCTCCGATGGGGGAGAGGAGCCTTCACAAGAGCTCCATCACGTTCCATCAACAGCTCCGAGCTTGCTGAAGGAACTGACACCGTTGATTAACAGCGGCCAATTTTCTCTCGCGTCGGGCTTAATACTGCGGCGTTTCATCAGGCTGTCGTGCTTGGTTGGGGGGATAGATGCAGGATGAACAGCACAACGGGAAGTTTAAATAGCCAGTTGTTTATCTCAGCTGATGCAGAGATGATTTTAATCCGACTGGCTGCTTGATTATACCGAGTTGTGTGAAAGTGTGTGGTTATGTGAAGTCCATTGGTTGAAAACCCTGCACCACAATGCTTTGCTGCTGAATGCTAACATGCTCAGTTTAGCATGCGTGCATACTTGCATACATACAAGTGTACTTTCTGAACCCATCGCGTATTTTAATAAATAATAATTTCCAGTCGTAATTATGACTCTGGCGCTGACGTGAATGCTTGCTACAATTGAGGAAATTGTGCAGCGATTATGCAAACTCTTGACATGCCATGAACATTGCTTTCATCTTTTTCTGCACCCGTTCCCTTCAGACTTGAATAACATTTCTCTATTTGCATATTAATTTCCATGAGATTCTTCACAGGCGAGGGTTTTAAAATTTTCAAAACCCTCTCTGAGGATCTCCCACTCACTCGGTCTGTGTTACATAACAGCTGCCTCACCATAGAGGGTTTGATCAATATTCCCCTCACAGCATCCCCACAGCACTCTCTGGGGTTAAAGCTTGTGGGTCATCCACACTGAGTCGCTCAAGCCTGCTGGGCTGCATTGTGTGTGTGTGCGTGTGTCTGTGTGTGTGTTTGTTTGTGTCCGTCTAAATCCTAATGGAAGGAGGAGATGCTATTGTTAGAGATGAAGGACAAAAAGACAAACAGCCATTTCTGACGACAGGCAGAGTTAATAAAAAAGGTTAAGAAGGAGGCGAGAGCTAAGCTTATATCAAAGGGTTTGAGACAAAATCAAAGTCTTCTGCCCACACAGGCCTTCTGCAGCCTTGCCTTCTGCAGCCTTTAATCAAGTGAAGGAAGCGCAAATCAAGAAGTAAGCTGCATATTAAATGTTTTTTATACAGCTGTAAAATCCCACTTGGTTCGAAAATTTGTTTGTCTGTCTGTTGTTTGTTGGCTTTGATGGGTTTACATGTAACTTTGTATGCATATGCACTCCTAAAAATATCTACATTATTTCAGGAGTTCACAGCTGTACAATGCCATGATGGGAATATCTGCCTTTATATTATTGCTATATGCGTAGTTCCACATAATCACAATGGCAACATACTGGAGAACAGAAAACATAATGCAGCAGTTTAATCACGTGCCAGAGATTGCAGCAGCTGCGTGCATACAGTCTATGTATGACTTCTCTTTTTAATGCCCTTATTGGCCCCCACAACTCAACCGTGTAGACCGAAGGACAGCGAGAGCCAGGACATAACCGGACCTCCCTTCACTGATGTTTCGCCTCACTCCACCTCGGGAAGGCTGGACAGTTTGCTCCGGCTCTCAGTGCCCACCGCACTTTCTTATTTGATAGAATCCTTGATGTTCTCTTTCAGATCAGATACAACAACCCTTTTTTTTTTCTCTTAAGCAAAAGTAAAGGTTTTTATGGCTCAGGTCCTCCAGGATAAAGCACCAAGAATTCTTGTTTAGGTTTAGAAAAATATCTTGGTTTAGGCTAAAATAATATGTGGACGTAAATTTTTTGTCACAAAAAAAAAACTACTTTTTTATTTTCCTGCTATGTCATCCTTTGCCAATAACATCCCTGTTTACACCTCCAGTTGGAGGCCATAAGTTTTGGGTTGGAGTGCCACTGAGCCAGAATAACATGTTATTTGTTATCGCCTTTTTGTAGGATTTTTGATATGAAGAAAAGTGCCAGGTATAGCACCAAGCGTAGTCCTTGAAAATGCACAACCTGACACAAACGGACGGCTAAAGATTACATGACTGCGAGTAAATCACGACAGGAGCCACTTTTGGAAGCCGAGACACGACTGCAATAACTACAGCACAATGTTTAGGTGTGATGTTGCAATGACATCTCCACATTCTACTCCTACACCCGACCTTCATCACCAATAATTACCCATAAATACAATTTCATGGGTTGTTAAGCACACAGGCAGGTTACTGTATAAGTCTTTGGTGCCTGTGTAGCCTCAGATGATTCATTCCTCATGAGAGCTGAAAGCCTGCAGAGATCACCCCGTGTGCTTTTACTTCTCATGGTGGAGATTTATATTAGTCATTGCTGCAGATCAGTGAGCCCCCTTTGCTGCAATCCCCCAGATCTGCCCTCTAAATAAGAATAGACATGCCGCTTTATGCAACACCTCCACAGACAGAAGGAAGGCGCCTGATCTGTACTCTAAAGGTCAAAAAGTCAAGATTGAACCTTTTTCTTTTCCCTATCAGGACGGTTAAAGTCTCAAGTGATCACTCTGTGGTTTTCAGACTAAACATCGGCTCTGCATTCGTCTACAGACAGCAGAATAGAAAGACACGCTTGAATCAAAGTACTTTCCAAGCAGAGGTGTTACCTGCAGCATTATAACAGGATGTGGTGTGCTAAGTGACTCAAAACGAGGCGGGGGGGGGGGGGGGGGCGTAACAAGAGGGCTCTCCTTGAACAATGTTTGCTGTAAATTTGGTGCTCCTGTTATGCTGTCTTCCTGTAGTCACTTACTGACGCAGGCAGCTGTCACATTAGCTATAGCAGTAAAAAAAAAAACATGGACTGACAGCTCCGACATGATTCATGTAGTGTGTTGTTTTTGTGATGAGACAGCTCTAATGTAGATGTGTCCCCGAAACAACACAACAACAACAAAAAAAAATGGAGGGCTTCTTCTGTTGTGAATAACATTGTCAAAGATTCATTGAGGCATTCACTGCTAATGCTACTTTCAAACTCATGTCAATCAATAAGTTATCAAATACAAACAAAAACAGATTAATGTTGAATGTGTAATACTTTTTTCTGTATGGCACTTGGAGAAATGAAAAATTTTAGTTGAACCTGCCATCAAGAACTAAATGTCGAAAAAAAAAACACGACGTAAGACGCACTTTGACATTCTTGACTTGGACTGTTTCATCAAAAAAGCACGATGGAAAACTTGTTTGGTCGGAGGGGGTCGACTGTTCGAGCACCCTGGTGCTATGGGAACATCTGCTGTCTCTCTTCAGACACGATTGGGTTCTTTATTTAGCAGGATGTACCAGTGAAGGGCACAGACAGGAGTGTTCTGGGAGTACAAAACCATGAGAATCCATGCAAGGTCCAAGAAAATCCTTAACTGGCTTCTCCGTCTGCCTTCTAGTGAAACCTCCCACAACCAGTCTGGTGATTCACATTATTCAGACAGACGGAGATTAGAGGATTTAAGCATCTAACCTTTCACATAATGTTGCTCTTCGTTTCCAAATAGGCCTATAACTCCTCCGTGTTGTCACTTAGTATTAAGAGAAATGAATGCAAACAGATATAGCCAGAATACATATTTTATTAGGCAGAGAAAATACTGTTCAGAAGAAGAGAAACACCAAAAATAAATTTCTGTCATACATCGACTCCTCTCATACGGCTTAGGAAGGTCACAAGTACACCGAAGAGAAACAAACATTGCCAAAACTTAGCGTGGATTAAGTCTCAAAGAGGTAAGACGTATACTGTAGCACGGTCAGAAAGCATGTCGCGGCTCAGGTGTCGTTAAAGCGGAGCATAATGGCCTTTCTGGTGAGCACATCTTCCTGATTCTCCACGCTTTGAAAACACCATGACGAGAAAAAGGCAGGTGGCACTAAAATGGGGAGTTCATATCGTTCAAATCAACAAACTTGAGGCATCAAAAAGTTAATAACATCAGCCTAAAAAGGTGGTAGATGCACCCAAGAAGACGAGCCCTCTGAATTAAAAAGATGATGATTTGAAGAGAGTGGGGGTAGCCTCAGCCGATTGATGAAAATCTCCTGAAAAACGCAGAGAGGGAAGGCAGCTGGGGTTGGCTTTTGGCAGCTTGTTCTTCCCAGGGCTTGGTGGTGGACCAGTGTGGTGGGGAAGATATTCCACTTTTTTTTTTCTGATGTGAATTAAGAGCGAAAACAAGGCAGACAATCCCGCCTTGACTCCTTACAAGCACATATAAACGTACAAACGTCCAGCCCCATCAGACTCTCAACGTGACACAATCAGACTAGTACACAAACATGCAGACTCACACAAAGGCAAAACTTTACAAAGTCATGCAGATGGAATGTTCTGATATTTCTGTAGTCTGACTGAAATATGTTTCGCTGGCTGGCCTGAAGTCTATTTTAATCAGAGTGGATAAATAGGGAACTACTCAAATGCGCAGTCTAGGCTGTCGTGACGGACTTTAATAGCACTCCTGGAAAACTTCAACAAATCAGTCTTCTGATGGGGGGAAGAGAGAGCAAAGGGGCTTTACAAAGCTAAACATAAGAACATCAGTTTCTTAGGTATTTTCCTTAAATTTCTTTAAAAAAATTCTTCAAAACCCGTTCTTGTTTATTACAGAGGTAGCCTGGCCTTGACTTCATTATACTAGACTTCAAAAAACATCCTAAAAATGTATTTTTAACCCACTGAAAAAGCATCCTGAGCACTGACACTTTCAGATGAGCCATTGTTAAAGGAATAGTTTTGAGTTTTGTCTGATAGGCCTTAAAGGATGGTCCTACCTCCCCAGCTGTCTAAAGCTCACTAATTAACACTTAATCACTTATTTGTTTACTCCAGCAGTTGCTAAAGGTTGTATGACTGTAGGGTAGTGCAGTTACTTTGCAAATATAACTGAGAATTTATCCACATTTTGAGTCAGTTTTTCACCTGGATATTGTGGAAGTGAATGTGAAAAGTAGCTAACAAGCCAACCAAGTAAAAACAAAGAGTAAAAAAATGTAAGCGGTCAATGATTTAACCTTTCAGCGAGAAGTGAAAAGCCAAGAGTAAAACTCCTTCGCTAAAAGTAGGGCGCTTACAGCTACAGTTGCTAAGTAAAGCTAACAAGCATATGGCTAAAATATTGAGCTAAAAGAATTGGATAAATCTTTGAAAAAGTTAGCTGAAAGTAAGAAGCCAACCGTTGGATTGTTAAGATAGAAGTTATGGAAACATTTTGGAAATGTTTGCTAAAAGTAGTGCTCCAATAGCAGTTGATATTGTTAGCTAAAGATGGAATAGTTAGCTAAAGGTTAGCAAACAGACCAACAGTTAAAATGTTATATTTTTGAAAATAGGGGATACATTGGTTGTATATTTAGCTAACTGCTTGAACTTTGGGGTTAAATTAATGAGCCAACAGATGAAGTATAGAAATAGAAGTTAGGAGCCCACAGTGCAAAGTGCTAGCTAAATTTATTGACCCAACCGTTGGCCATGTTAGCCAAAAAAATTATGAGCCTACCGTTGATACTGTTCGCTAAAAATAGTTAATAGGCTACTGAAATAGTTATCCAAAGGTTTGAGCCAGCAGTTGCCTAGCTAAAAGAAATGAGCAAAGTGTGAATAAGTAGCTAACCATTTTAACGGTTTGCTCACTTTCAAGCTAAAATGTTGTGTCAGCAGATGCTCGGGGCAAACTGTAGAAATGGTTAGCTATCTAGAAATAATTAGCTCACAGTTGATTTTCTGTTAGGTAACATGATTGACAAACTTTTAAATGACTTCAAATCAGCAAAACAGGGTCAAAAGGTTAAAGAAATACATGACTAGCAGGCATAGCTAAATGTTATCGATGAATTACTGAAAAGATAGTAAAAATGGAAATGGACGATTGGGCTTCTCTTGGTAGGAAACTAACCGGTGTGTGCCCCAAAATATCAAACTATTCCTTTAACAACATTTAAATTTATTGAATTAAGAAAAACATTTACTTGTTTACAGCCTAATCACAAAAAAATATCCACAAAACTTGACTTTCAAGTCATTGTTTTCCCCTTTAACAGACCATCAGCGTAACAAAGCAGCTGAGAAATTGGATTGACTATACAGTATAATCATCAAGAGTGATTAGACTCACAGAGATCTGATTGGCTCATAACTGGCGTTCATCCACTCTGCGAACAAGACTAATTTAATATAAGAGATAATCATAGTGAATGTCTTATTTCTACAAACACAATGATGTAAACTCAAGAACAACCGCGGCGAATGCTCCGCCATGTTCTGGCAGTGTGTGAGACACTGTGATCGGACAGTCCAGACACAGGCGGCATTGCGCCTCGTTTGCTGCAACCGGTCGACATTTGAGGAAAATTTGGTTGCCGCTGTCGCGTCGTGCTCACAGGTTCTTGTTGGTGTCATGTTGGCACTGGCTGTCAGTCGAAGGGTTGAGGAAGGGCACCTCCTCGCCGCAGCCCTGCAGCTTCAGGACCCGACTGCTCAGGTCCAGGCAGCACTATTAGAAGACAGGAGTGGTGAAATATCATTTTAACTAAATCAATGGCTCCAGATGAAGCAAAGCTGAGTGGGCTGGGGGACGCAGCAAAGGAACAAGGTCGGACTCAATCCTGCAGCCACTGCAACAACAAGGACTTTAGCCTCAGTACATAGGGAGCACGACATAACCACTAGGCCATCTTGCACCCCAGGCTGTGGGATTAATAAATTAGCAAACAATAAAAAATATTCTGCAATACGTAATATTTCTTTTTCAAGCTAATATTTAATGGTCCCACTGTTTTCATATCTAAAAATAGATCAATTCAACCTAATCTAGTTACCACCGTTATTCATAATGAATTAATTGTCCTAAGTTAAGGACATGAGTGAGCTTGCGTTACAAAGTCCTTCAGGGCTAATTCACACAATGATGTTTCTCTCATATCCTCCAGTCTTGATTTAATTAGATTATAAAGAAGATATGAACCAGATCATTCTGATACAGACATCAGGGAGAGCGCTTCCTGAAGATTCACAGATAGTCTCTTCAGGGGGTTTAAATTGCATTTTTGAAAATGGAATTTGAAATTCCACCACAGGATGTTCTCACTTTGCTCCTTGTGGTTTTTTATCCACACAGTGGGCGTCTAACAAATAACTGTGCCGCTAAAATAATCTACCCAGCTTTTTCCACTTAAATAACACTGCGCTCTCTACTTCTGATTTTGAGATTGCGTGCTTGTTTTGCCGCTATCTCCTCTCCTGAAATGTTTACTTTTTCCTGCTCTCACTCGTGTGTCTCTTTCTTCTGATTTTGCTTATTCAGTTTGGCAATTTGAGGCAAAGCACACATGAAAGTAAACCCTACGATAAGGGCGCAGCAAATATTAGCAAAGCAAATGAGGTCCTTACTTTGAGTTCCAACAGAGTCTGAAGACCCAGGCACAGCTCGAACGTCTCATCCTCTGAAAGGAAAGAGAGAAAAATAACGATAAAGGAGAGAACAGAGAAAGAGTAGAGGAATATAACTCATCATATTAACATTCATACATTAGCCTGGAGCCAGGTGAAATCATCAAGACGGCAGCATTATTCATTCGTGAACTAATGAGCGACGGTGAGCATGTGTATGAGTGAAGATGGGTGTGATCATTGTAGCAGCAAAGTGAGAATTGAATGAACAAAGTGAGCAAGAGTCAGCTGCTGGGTTAAAGGATTTAAAAACAATCATTATTAACTGGTGCAGAGGAACCAGGACGAGTGACAAGAAGCGTAGGATTTTGTTTTTGTTGCAGTTCTGTTCTTGTCGCATGTTGTCCTCCTCATTCAAAGGAAGAGTGAAGATACTGTTGTAGCTGTGACATCTGGACAGAATGTGTGTATCATTTTGTGCTTTGCTTCCCCTCAGATAAGACTCTGCTTTAAAGGCTTTATATGCGATTTTTTTTGATCCAGCAGATGTCGCCCTTGAGCACCAGCATGAAACCAAAACAACTTGCGCTGCATTGTTGTGTTAGCATGCTAATGCTAGCGATCTTTATTATGCTCGTATCTTCACACTGCATGTAAATTTACCTGAAATGAGCGTGATCTAGAAACACAGTTAAGCAGTGAGTACAGTATGTTATTCTTCTTTTCTCTAGTCCCTCAATTAAACAACTTTTATACGCGAGGGGAGGAGTCGGCCGTCCGTCCTGGCGATGTAAACAAACTGAAGATAGGACTCTGAAAACTCTGAAAGCATCACAGACAGTGGGACTCGGGTGTTACACCCATTGTAGACAGTCATGACTCACAGAGTTATTTTAAAAAGATATACTTGATTTCTGTTATATTTAAGTGTGAAAAATCTCATATAAAGCCTTTAAAGGAAGAGTTTGACATCTTTGGAAATACATTGTTTCACTTTCATGTCGAGAGCGTGACTCATGACGAGTTTGATCCTCTTTTATCTACAACGTCTGACTGTGAAGCCACAGCTAGCAGCCAGTTGGCTAAGTTTAGCATAATGACTAGTTAGTGGTGGAGGAGGAGGGAGGAGGAGGGACAGCTTTTGCTTGTCAGCTTCAGTTTCTGTTCTTTGGCTTTGGACCTGTGTGTGTGTGGTGACTGTTAAACACAACAAAATATCAGATAATTGTGTCAAAGCAGTCCCCAAAAAATCACGACCAATCAGGCAGAACTCTGATTGGTCAGTAAATAATAGTTCCTCTCGTACTTATTCTTATTTTTGTTGCAGTTTGGTTTGAGTCTGCAGTGCTCCCTCTTTATCTGCTCTGCTGTGATGACAATTGCTTTCCTTTGTAATTATCTTCCCACTTGCCCTTGTTGTGCAGAGAGATAGATTTTTCCCCTCCAAAGAAATACTTGACATTCTTAATACAGCCGATGTAAAGGCGTTGGAGTGCATACGTCGTCGTGTTAAACTGGCAGTAGAAAGTTGAAAACATTAGACATTTATCTGCTGGAACATATCGCTAATTACTGCTTAAAACATCTTCTTGTCGACCTTGCTGTCCTTTTATTTAATGCTAATTTCTGCCTGGCTGCTTAAAGAGGACGAGGAAGGCTGTTCTGTCTGAATGTAAAGTACAGAGAAGCTCATAATCAACTCAACATCCCTCTTTTATCATATGTTATTAACAGAATCTCTTCAGAAAGGATGGACCCATAAGACCAGAGAGGGGGAAATCACCACCACCATTATTGACCACTAGGGCTGTCAAAAAATAACTAAATAATCGAGATAAATTGAGGACTGAAATTAAAGCATTCCTTTTTTCTAAATAGCGATTCATCTCATGCTATTTTGTCCCTTGAGGCGCACCGTAGGTATGCGCTAGTGTCTCCAATTTCCATTTCGTTTTTGTTTCTTACCTTTGACATAAGCTGAACACTGGACTGTCTGTCGGCCCAGCTGCAGCTGCAGACCCGTCACTGAGGCCTCCACACCACATGGCAAGCTGTCCTGGCTGGGCACCAACCTAATAACACACAGACACACAAATAATACCTTACAACGGAGACATTTTAAATTTAATATCATTGCAATCTCCCAGGAATGAATGGCCTTATCAAATATATCCGTGCAATATACTGCATCAACTTTTTTATTGTTATGTCCATGAAAAGTTTATGCAGCAGGGATTTTATGAAGTAGCATTTTGAAGACAAACAGTGCACCAATTTATCATCTTTTATTGCTCACCTGTTTTCCTTTTGAGTTTATTTGAAGTTCAGATGGGAACAAAAATGTCACGTCCGCTCAACACTCTTAAGCCGGTGCACAGAATCTGATCTTTTAGCGCGGCTTTATCTGGCATTTTAATGTCTTTTTTCTTAAATGAGCAGGTGAATATCAGGTCTCTAAGGATGTGGGGAAAAAAACTGTCTGAAGAGCTTAAACACTTCCATTATTACATCTCTCCTCAAAGGTTGTTTTGTAGACAACCTTTTAAATGTTAATTCTTACCTATCTATTTCTAGCCTGTTATTTTTAGACTTCTTTCTTCTTTCAGTTTTTTGCTTTGATTCATTTGATTGTAAAAACACTATAAACTGGGTTATAGGTTTTTAAAAAGGCAGGTCATTTATGTGTCGTTTGTGGATTGTAGCTCAGTAGTTCTTACCCCAGCCTCTGGCAGCAGGAGGTGGAGATGTGGTTATGTTGGCTGCCGGTGTTGATGAACGCCTTGACTTCAGTCTCGCAGCACTGTGGGGAGGACAGGGGGGATATTTTGAAGTCTCAGTGTGATTTTCCACTTCGCTCTGGCACCCACACACACCAGGAAACATCCAGTCATAACAGAACATTAACACAACTCTGGGGAGCCGTTGAAAACCGCTGATCGCTCTTTTCTTTTCAACAAATGCTTTTAAGCTCACACATGCTTGAGAAACTTGCCAAACTGGAAAACAATAAGTCAGAGTTCACTGCTAATCAACTTAGTGCCGACAAAACAAATCACCCATCTGTGGCGTATTTCCAGGCCAGCTTTTGTTTTGAGAGTCAAATGTGATTTTTCTGTGTGCAGTATATTGATTATGTGTTGGACTCTTAAATCACCACGTTTCTGTTACATGCCTGCTCCAAAAGCCCAACAGTTAATAATCAAGCCAAAATATAATCCAACAGGAAAGCGCCGTGTACCATCAAACATCAGATGTCCAGGTTTTTGATTATTAGCCAATCAGTGCCGCTAAAATCACTGACCCTATTTCCTGACAAGATGCTTAGTCTTCAGTTTGTTGTGAGCGCTTTGATTTTTTCTGACTTGATTGCTCCACAGTATGAAATATTAACCGAGCGAGTCATACATTATATGTGTTTTACTCATTAGCCAACTGAACCACTCCACTCTGAAAGTCAAGTCACAGTATCGCTGACTCATTTTTAAAGTCTTTAATCTGTGATTTTTCACACTTAAATGTAGAAATCAAGTATATCTTTTGAAAATAACTCTGTGAGTCATGACTGTCTACAATGGGTGTAACACCCGAGTCCCACTGTCTGTGATGTTTTCAGAGTTTTCAGAGTCCTATCTTCGCTTTGTTTACATCGCCCGGACGGCCGGCTGACTCCTCCCCTCTCGTATAAAAGTTGTTTAATTGAGGGACTAGAGAAAAGAAGAATAACATACTGTACTCACTGCTTAACTGTGTTTCTAGATCACGCTCATTTCAGGTAAATTTACATGCAGTGTGAAGATACCAGCAGAATAAAGATCGCTAGCATTAGCATGCTAACACAACAATGCAGCGCGAGTTGTTTTGGTTTCATGCTGGTGCTCAAGGGCGACATCTGCTGGATCAAAAAATCACAGATAAAGCCTTTAATGTGGTTGTAACAATATTATAATATGTATACAAGCTCATTGGACTCTTCATCTCCCATCAGCTCTACAAAACCTTTTCAGTTCAATTCAGCGGAAAAAAAGGAAATTGATTTGATATAAGTCATTTTCTTTGTTGTGATTTTCCCACCATCCATACTTGAGTTTTACAGTAAGCAGTTCTAGCAGGCAGCGTGTCCTAATTCCATCTGACGTTTCTCCTCTTCTGCATCACATAGTAGTGCTCCGTTGCCTGTAGGGCAGAACGTGTCATAAAGACATGATTCATGGGGAGCAGAGGAAAGTGTATCTCGCTGCAGCTAGTGTAATGGTTTGTTGGGAAATGGGCCTTTTTTCTATTCTTACTATCCTTACTCGTCATGCAGCCTGTGCACAACTAAGAATATTTTTTGTTCAGGGGGAGAAAATAAATGAACTGAAGAGTGTGTAAGTGTTTTGAGAACATATGGTTACTCTACATGCATGTGAGATAAGCACCGCCCCCGCACTGTTGAATGTGAATCAGGCCATGTATGAATTATTTGTTTTTCCACCATCGAAATGCAAAAAGATCCCTCTTGTTATTCTTTTATGACTGTGCTTGCTTACATATTAATGAAAGAAGGTAACAGTCCTCGCAGACGGAGCAGGCCAAAGCACTGGACCTTGGCATGCAATGAATACTAAAACAATAAGAAAGCCGACACGACCTGAGGGCTGTTTGGAAAATGCAAAGTCATTTTGAATCTTTAAAAAAATGTAATCCCATTGACATTTTTGAAGGAGACTATTTATTTTCATTCAAGTGCAAAGTCTTAGGAATCTTTACAAATCAAAAATTGTGAGGGGGAATTTGAGGGTCGCTGGTTCTATTATGGTGGGGTCACTGGCACTCCAAGCATGCCTTTGAGCAAGGCTTCTGAAACCCCCCCCCCCCCCCTGACTGCTCGGGCAATCTTTGGTTTGCAGCCTCTCTCACTCTGATTCCTCTCCATGAATGTGTGTGTACTAGCATGATGGATAAAATGGCAGTGTTTCTGTTCACAGTGACTTTCAAGAAAACCTGTGTCACATTCTTATTAAATGTCTCAAAACACACACTGGGTGGAGTGAAAATCAAAAAAACAAATCATGTCTACGTTTTTATTTTTCGGTGAAGAATGGTTGGGAAATTTCAGACTTTGATTTTTTAAACATCTGCTTTTTTTTGTTGTCTCTCCTCTACCAATCTTGGTTCCTGTGTCTGTATTTTCCTACTCATCCACATCATCCAGTCGTAAATCAATACCTTCTCCATCTGACCCCCGAGGATATCTCACCCTTTGGAAATAAAACGCGTCCAGTTTCCATGAGCCTTGTTTTGATCCCTCACACTCTGAACAGAGCGAGCCGAGCCCTCTTTTGTCCTCACAGGCAACGCCGGCTTATCAGCGAGCCCACAAAACCTGCTCTTTTGTCTCAGTCCCAGCGCTGGAAAAAAAAAAATCCACTCTCTCCTTTTCCCCTGAAGTTTAAAAATAGAACGAGCCGAATGAGTAACTGAGGAACACTTTTGAATTTAATAAGTTGATGATAAAACCGAGCGGCGCACAATGAGTAATAGAGGAAAACGCTGAATCTACCAGAAAAGTACTGTTTTAAAAAACACTCACATAAGCAGAAGCAACACAACATACTTCCAACAGCACAGAGAACAACAGTGCTTTCATCACTGTATTGATTTCCTTCAAAGTATAATAAATGGCTCTGTCCTTGGTGTCATAAGCTGTCTTTAATCAGGATCCACAATGTCAAAGAGACTGTCTCTTTAGCCCCTGGATTACAATGCTAAGCATTTATTATACTGTTTGTATTCATATTCAAGAAAATCCTGATCAAAACAATTCAAGATAATAATTATAACTTTAACAACTCAGGATGTAGAGCAGGGGTGGGCAACTGGCGGCCGGGGGGCCACATGCGGCCTACATCAACCCTTTTTTACATATCAATTAATTGAAAACATGAAAAAATCTGCCATGAAATCATGAAAACCAGAAATATGTCCATAATAATATTTAACCACTGGTATATGTTGAATTAAATTTGAGACATAATCAATTGTAATCATTTTTGTATCCTACAATTTGGCCCTCTGGCAGTGAGAATTAAATGAATGTGGCCCTCGCTGTGACCAAAGTTGCCCATCCCTGATGTAGAGCATACATTGCATTTCTCTTCTTTGGTTAAGGGCCTTCCTAACTAAAATAGCCTCACATTTGTCTGCATCCTGAGTTGTATTTCTTTCTTAAATCCTTTGAATGAGCCACAATATTTCAAGAAAAAGTCCTTCCTGCTCCCTTTTTGTATTGCCAACCAGGTGTCGAGATCTTTGTAGTTTAGGAGAGTCCCTGGAGATTATTTTCTATGTCTTGTAAATCTTGGCAAAGAAGACCCTCCAATATCTCAAAGTCCCTCCGGCTCTCCCTCGTATTCTTGTCCATGTGTGCAGTCGTCCTCAAAGGGATATAAGAGCCAACCTGTAAAACAACTGGCCAAACTCAACCCCTAATGAGAGGATTTTATGTGTAGCAGCACAGCCACAAATAGCCCAGCAAATGAGAGAACCAACAGGATTGATTGTTAGAGTGAAATGTTTTGCACTGGTTCCTGGACATAAGCTGCTGCAGATGTTTGAATACCACTCATTCATTGTCTTCCATTTCTCCATGCCGAGCCCATGTGCGCTTGTTATTTCTCTAACCTACTTTTTATATCACTGTTACACCAAGACCTTGTTGACCAGGGTCACTGTGACTCAGATTTCTGTTGTCCTCACAGACAGCTGCTGAGATCTGCAAAGCTTTTAATGAGTTGAAGAGAGAGAAACTGAAGCGCGGTTTTTAAGTGATGAGTCATCAGAGAGGAATAGCGCAGTCTTTGTCTCTTTTATTATTTCCAGTTTTTATGCAGGGCTAGAGTGTGTCATATTGAATATGAAAGAGGCGAGACATTGTGAGGGTACCTTGCATGGAACGAGCAGAGCTGTGAGGAGGGTCGAGCTCTCCGTGCCCTCGGTCTTATCAGCCGTCTGCCTGGCTCCGGCCTCGCTGCTGTCGTCCTCCTCGTCCGACCGCAGGCTCCTCTCGCTCTCCTCCAGAGACTCCCTCTCCTCCGTGGAGTCGTCCGCTGTGCTCTCGCTCCTCTCCTCGGCATCCGCGGCTCCGTCCTTGTTGTCGGCCAGCGGGGAGCGGACTCTGCCGCTGAGGTCTTTGGCCTCACCGCGAAGCCGCGTGATGTTTCCCTCCATCAGGCGGCGCTGGACGATGCTGTGAGGTTGCTAGAGGAAGAGACATGAGAGAAATGGATCTCAGATGGCAGGTTTTATTTGTAGTTTGTGGGAATTAGTGGGAAGCTCATATTGTTCCAGTTTACACCAATAAGATCTGTACAATTAAGTGTTTTTTTGTGTGTCTATTTTCAACAAAATGCTGAGATGTTGATTGGGTAAATCAACACTTTCCTGTTCTCCTTAACATTACAGTTTAGTAAACTGAATGTCTTTGGTTTTTGGTCTGTTTTTGAGCAACACACAACATTCACACACTTCCCTTTGGAGTCTGAGACACTGGAGTTATATATTTTACGGTATATTTTTTTCAGGAAACTACCTTTTTTATTAAGAAAGAGACCTGCAAATTCATCAATAATTCTTATAATCATTAGTTGCAGCCATAAACATATACATTAAGTCTATACAGTGTGAAAAAAACCACAGAGTCAAAAGTTGTGAAAAATCAAAAACAGTTGAACTGTGCGACGGTGCAAACTGTTGAAGAGGGAGTCATGTGTGTATCAGTGGACAGGTGTCATCTTCTGGTGTTACCCCCCTCTGCAATGTGAAAAGATAAATATTTATAGTTTTACTATCTCACAGAGTACGTCAGAGACCGCTTGTGACGCATGATACACTTTTAATCTAAGAGGAGAAAAAACATATGTAGGTCATTGTGTTAAAGAAACATGTCAGTGTAACTCAAGTGGCTGCAGATCATCGGCACATTCAGAGAAAGTGATATTGTTCTCAAACACCACTAAGATTGTGTTTATTTGTGCATTTGCAGATACGGATGTTAATACAATTAGTCTTAACTGCATTAAGTACAAGATGGATTCTACTTTAAATTAAATGTTGGCTTTATACTCTAAACTTTAGTAAAAGTCTGTCCCTCTAAGTACCTTCATATTTTTCTTGTAAATGCCTGTTTCTAATGATTGAAGGTAAACTTGTTACGTCTTTTTATTCAGGTGTCACACAAATTAGTCCTCTTTTTTTTTTGCAGCTCAAACAAGCCATGAACAGAAGCGTAAATGAGCAGCTGCTGTCTGCATGAATTATTAAAAAGTAGATTGTGACACAAATGACTAATTTAAAAGCGTCACTTGATGGTTCTTACACACAATTTTCTCCCTCTCATACTGCATGCAGATGGCTCATTTTCAGTCCTTTTATGCAAATCAAGAACTGGCCTTGAAAACTAGAGTAGTCAGACTTTTATCAAACACACACACTCACACACACACACACACACACACACACACACAAACTGGCTTTAGACCATGGCCTGCAATGACAACATTATCCTTGATTAATAACAGTCAAGCGGCAACCTCCCAAGCTGAAAAATGAAGCTAATGTGGAAGCCTGCAGTACATCAAGTGTCCACTTGAGGCTGGCTGCAGAAGTCCCAGAAGTCACATACACACCCATTCAAAGATGGCCGTTTTAACAGCAGAAATAAACAGCCCGAGTCAAAGAACAAAATTGGTCTGACTAGCTCATTTCTTTATCAGCACACACAGTAAGGTATAAAGGGGAAACAATGTAAGAAAAATGCAATTTCTGGGGCTGTTCTTAGAATACATTTGAGAACTAGTGGCCTGTAGTTTCCACATCTGGTCTACTTCAGCAGAAATTCTGTCAATGTTATCAAAAACTATTTTTTTTTAGAGTCACCACAATCTATTTTTTGATCCAAAACTTTTCACGCTGAAGGAAGCTGAGGCCGTTTAAACCATAGATCCTGCAGATTCAAGCAAGCATCAGCCGTAGCATTTCACATCCTCTTTCCCTTCCACCGAATCTCCTCCTGTCCACCCACGCACACAAAATAACACACATCCATTTAAACAGCTAACTTTAGCTTCAGTGAAATAAATTACCTTTCCAAACATCCACGGAAGAAGGTCACATTATCATGTCATGACAGCCAATTGGAGAGATAGGTCAGCGTGTGCAGGTCATCGCTGTCAGCAGACATTAAAGACTTTCTGGGGCCATTTTGAACAACCTTTTTTTTTGTCACCTGCAGTCTGTCAGTAGACAAAAGCACCCTGCAGGGTCCACGTGTAAAGCACTTTACAAATACAACAAAATGTTCTTTATGGGGACAGACACATTATTCAAGTTATAATCAAACCAACAGCTGGTTTTCATTCTGTCAGAAACTTCTGAATCGATATAATGCTCGTATTAACGGCATGTTTCCACTATTTCAAAGCAGCATGTGGTCAGTGGCTGGCTGTTCTTTCTGCTTCACAGAAAAAGTAAATTATATTTGAAGCTGCCTGTTCCTCTATAATCACATTTCTGTTCAGGAGTGCAGAGTCTGGGTACAGCCTGTCAGACAGCTTGCTTTGAAAAGAGCGGGTCACCAAACACCAGCACAGACGCTGCATTAATAAAACACAAAGCATGAGCTCTGCTTTCAAGGCGGGTTTTGAAAACTACAACATCAAGAACTGTGCAGCATCCATCGTAATAAACTTTTAGCTCTGAACATAAACAAATCAAGCCTTTATGTTACCTTAAGAAAATGAACTCCCAGCTTGTCTTGGAATAGATAAAAAGATAAAATGCAAACTAAAAAGGACAGATTAGACTAAATTTACCAATCTCCAGGCATGCTTAGGAGGAAAGACAGCCTTTATATTTGTTCCATTTGAGCGGCTTCCAATCTCAAATTAGCATCTGAAAAGGCTTTAAATAGCTACGAACATAACAAGGAACCTGGTCCTGAGTGTTTCATTTAGACAGGAAGTTGAAAGAGTATAGTCTGTGGATGCAGAAGATTTAAAGAGGCTGCTCTTTGTTTAAGTAAGACAAGGGAAAATGTCACAAATGGCTATTCCTGAGGCCGATAATTCCTGATGTGAAGCACCAAATGTGTGAGGAACAGTTTGAAGTTGGTGGAGAATTAATATTGGACGTATATTAGTAAAGTGGACACAAACATGACATCAAATGGAGTGAACTTAACGTTGCTCCTCAAAGAGATAAGCAACTGTTCGCTTACAAGTTAGCAATTGTTGACTTAAAGCTGAAGATATCTGAGGGTTGCGCTACAGCTACAATCAAAAGGATTAAAAAAAATTGAGGAATGTTTATAAAAGTGGATTCATTCTGTTGAATTATTTGCATTTCTTCAAGCAAACAAAGTGTGTCTGCATAGAATACCTTATCAATTAGGTTGTTCAAAATAAACTCAACATGCTTCCAAGACAGGAGGAAGTGTTTGTCTACAAAGGATCACTATAGTTGATGTGATTGGTATCGTATTAAATCTCATTCTCTGGTCCAAAGACAGCCGGCCTGCCTGGAATAATCGTCGTCTGCAGAGCCATTAAGACGCGGTTTTTAGTATCTTGGTTCATTGCCAATCTCACAGAGGGACATCCCCATCTGCCTACCTGTTGTTTTTCCATGAGCATTATATTACTATTCCAAACAGCCCTTCATTTCTACACACGACTGCCTCCCTCCATCTCCATCTCTCTGCTCCCTCTCAAAATGCAATCAACTCTCCTGCAGTCACCACACTTTTATATAAAAACTGGTTTGTGTCCACTTCACTTTTTTTTTCTATCTGAGCCAACAACCCCTTAAACGTCACTGCTGAAGCCTCTGTCGTTGTGAGTGGTGACAACAAGTGGAGAGCTCTTTCTGCTGTCGATTGATTTCGACCCATCAGATGTACTGAATTCACGGGGGCCATCATGATGGAGATTCCTCGAGTCTTAGGGGTTTATAGTTTAATGTGAAGCGTTTGAAAGCTCTGTGAAATAGGCTGCATGAGACGTACTCATACTTAGATAACAGAATGGGTCGATGGCCAATAGCTCCCCAAACAATATAGGCTTGTTCTCCAAAAAGGACGTATATGACTGTTGGAGAGTACCGTGCACAGGTGTTCAATAGATCCATTCATGGTGTTATCAAGAAGCCATATGGTGGCAACAAAAGAAAACGAAAGAAATGTAAAAAAAAAAACACTTTTTGTCTGTCTTGGACTATAAAGGCTTTATATGCTTTAGACAGACCAAAACAAACAATATATGAAGTTTACAGCGAAAGACAAAAAAAGAACAACAGGTATTCACAGTAAACACACTTTAAAGGTTTTTTATGCGATTTTTTGATCCAGCAGATGTCGCCCTTGAGCACCAGCATGAAACCAAAACAACTGGCGCTGCATTGTTGTGTTAGCATGCTAATGCTAGCGATCTTTATTATGCTGGTATCTTCACACTGCATGTAAATTTACCTGAAATGAGCGTGATCTAGAAACACAGTTAAGCAGTGAGTACAGTATGTTATTCTTCTTTTCTCTAGTCCCTTAATTAAACAACTTTTATACACGAGGGGAGGAGTCAGCCGGCCGTCCTGGCGATGTAAACAAAGTGAAGATAGGACTCTGAAAACTCTGAAAACATCACAGACAGTGGGACTCGGGTGTTGCACCCATTGTAGACAGTCATGACTCACAGAGTTATTTTCAGATATACTTGATTTCTATATTTAAGTGTGAAAAATCACATATAAAGACTTTAACATGGCTGTAATGATGTCATCTCATGTCTGGACATGCGTGTATATATGTGACCTGTCAGTATGATTCAGAGGCTCTCTGTGTCAGACGTACATCTGTTGATCTGCAGCTCAATCCAACACCTTGACAGGCCTTCCAGGAGTCCTCTCTGACAGCCCGTCGCATCAGAAAGAAACCGATTCTCCGTTAAAAAAAAAAAAAAAAAGAAGTGTTTCTGTTCAAGATTCGTTTCTATTCTTAGAACCTCTCTGTCAGGATTTCTGCCCAAAACAAGCACCCTTACAGCCAGTAATCACCACCTGACACTGATTCTGCCCATTGGTTCCACTCTGAGCTCCAGCTGTGGCCCAGCAGCTGTTGGCCTCTCCTCTCCTCCTCTACTCTACTCATCATTACTCGTTCCTTTCCAGCTCTCTGCTCTTTTTCTCTGCCACCCTCCTCCTTTCTTTTT